GTCTGAGTCATAATCATTTCAAATCTGAATTAGCCCAACGGCCTCCCAGCTAGTCTCCTGGCTTCCACCTTTGCCTGCCGCCTGTCTGTTTTCAGCACATCAGCCTAGGCAACCAGATCACCTCTCCGCTGCTCAAAGCGCCCATCACATTTAGAGTAAAAACCAAAGTCCTCGTCATGCCCAGGGAATCCTGCCCCACCGGCCCCACTCCACGCCCAGGGTACATCTGACAGCACACCAACTCTCCTCTCTCCCTTCCTTCCAGCCCACTGGCTTCCTTGCCGGCCCTTGACTATTTCAGGCATGCTCCCACCACAGGGCCTTTCAGTGGTTGTTCCCTCTAATCCACATCAACCCCCAGCCTCCACAATTATCCATAAGGCCAACTCCTTCACCTACGTCAAATCTTTACTCAAGTGGTGCCTTCTCGTTGAAGCATATCCCGCCTCTATCACTGAACATCGTAGCATACACCCACAAACATCCCCTTCCCACCTATTTCCAAATCCCCTTTATTTTGCTGTATTTTCCCATAGCACGTGTCATCTGCTAACATCTATATAATTATTTATTCTGTTGATACTGTTACACTTACTTATTCTGTTTATTGCCTGTCACTCCTTCTTAGAATGTTAGCTCCCCAGGAGTAAGAATATTTGTTTTTCTCTGATTTCCTCCAAGCTACTAGGCTGTGGCATAGGAGGCTCATAATAAACATTTGTTGACTGAATGATAAATGACCGGTAAGATTCAAATATCAAGTGTGCCTATCCTCTCATAAGTAAAACTGAACATTTTACAACTAATTCTAACTAACTTCCCCCTGTTTCCCAAACTACTTTCTTTCTTCCATATATAATCACAACTATCATTCTTTTGATGTATGGAAACTCAAGCCTGTTGTGCTCGGGTTTGAATACAGTGCTTCCCACTAAGAGGCCAACTGAAGTAGTCACAAATAGAAACAAATTGTAACGTTTTCCCTTTTGGTAAAGAGCTCCAAAGTTTCCATTTTCATGACTGGAAATTAAAATTTTTAAATGTTAAGAATGCCTGCGAAATAAACCTGACACAATTTCTTAGATTTCTTTTTTTACTTCTGTAATGCATATTTTCAACCTACAAATTCTATCAAGATTGTTGTAAAACAGCCTCAAATATGCACAGATTTAAATGTAGAATTGGTTAGATTATATCCTCTAAGATTTCAGGGGCAAATGCTAATATCTACTAAGATACAGCTAACACACAAAAGTCTACCAATTCATATTTGTTGACTTGATTTTGGATACTAGTCCTTTTACCAGTTACCAAGTATTTCAAGTTTTCTAACGTACTTTTCCAACTATTTCCTCACGACATGTGTGAGGTTAATAAAAAAAATTTTAATGAGTGGGTAAATAACTACAAAAATTTAAAATGGCCTTCCCAAGATAAAGACAGTTCCTCATCCAACCAATATTAATCAGCACCATGGTAATTCATGGAAGCTGGGGAGAGGAAGGTGGTAGAGAGAGAAGAGACAAGTAAGATTTCTTTCTTTGGGGAGAACAAGAACCCACAAACCTGCTTCTACATAGTGGGGCCTCAGCACATCCCTCTGTCTACTACTGAGTAGGTGCAGGCGGCAGAAGTTGAAACAAGAGAATACCTGTCCTTTCTGGCGGGCTGTACCAGTTCGTGTTTGGCGGAATACTGATACACCGTCTCCACAGTCCCACTGTGCCATTATATCGGAAAAGCGCATCATTGTAAGTCTTTTCATCTGCCTCATCACTAGCAAAGTCGGTCCAGAGGCCTTTGTTCAAATCACTGGAATTTTCTTGAACTGGACTTCGATATTCATACCAGAAGTCTGTGCCGATGGAGGCTGCCATGTAGATGGTGGAAATGAGGCTGAGCACGCAAGCAATTACAAATGCCGTAGCAAAACGGTTATCCATTCTGGCATTCAGACTGCTCTGTTTAAAAGTTGAAGAAAGAAGAAAAGTTAGACTTCAAGGACAAATAGAGATTATTCTGAAAAGAATTATCTGAAAATCACCCTTGACCCTATTCCCCATCCCTTGACTCTTTAAAGTAACATATGATCATTAAGGAATTAAAAAAAAAAAAAAAGCAAGCATGTTCTTAATTAAGTTCAAAACAAAACTCATGATCATGAAAGTACTTATTGAATGCTCACATACCCAGGATGCTACGGAGACAGAGGTCTTGTTCTCTAGTCTATCACCTGCACACTAAAACAGACAACACTGAAATGGACATACACATTACAGATACAAACAACAGACATGCCCGGAGTCAGCAAGGCACCGTGAATACCTCTGTAATTACAGACTGAATTTTTATACAAACTGCAGAGCATTAAGCGTTCTGGGTTTGAGTGTGAAGAGGGCAGAGGAAAGGAAGCAGAGGAAAGCCGCTCTTCCTCTGAAGAGGGTAACCTTCTACAACAAGGGGAAGGGTCAGGCGCTATCTGGGAGACAGGGTTGAAGATGTTTGTTAACCCAGAGAGAAAAGCTGTTCCGGGTGCACAGAGCAGCAAAGAGAACAACACGTAATATGCTAGATATTAATCTGCCCCTAATCCACCAACGCCAAGCCAACTCCTTCGCGCTGCCGACTTCTTCGCTCCCATCTACTCTCCCCACTCCTCAAACTTCTGAACCTCATCTGCAAACTAAACGATGTCTCCTCCACCAGAAAGAAAACTGAACGAGGAAAACAGGAGTCCTCCCAAGGCGCGGACGGCTGCTCGGCCGCGGGAAAGGGCCGCAGCACCATGACTCAGGGCGGACAGGCTGAGTCAGCCTCCGGAGAGTCCGCCGTGACCCCGAACCCCGCGCAGGGGGGCACGGGCGTCGGGGGACCGGGCACTCGGGGCCGGCGAGCCCACCGGCAGCGGCAACGGCAGAGCCGGCTCCGCGCGCTCATCCTCACCACCCGCTCCAGCCCGGGCTCGCCCACGACCTCGGAGGGTCCCGCCGCCGCCGGCCGCCCGCCCGGGCCGACACGGCGCTGTCACCCGGGGGGCGCAGGGCGGGCCGGGGGTCGAGCGGCCGCGCGGCCCGGCCAGGGACCCGGGTCCGCGCCAGGCCCCGCCCAGCCCGCTCGGCCGGGACCCGCCGTCCAGCCCCGCAGCCCAGCCCCCGCGCACAGGACCCCTTCCACCCTCCGGAAAACGAGGGCAGCGCCGCGCCCCGCGCCCCGCGCCCGGCGCCGGGCTGCGCACTCACCGCCCATCCTCCTGCTCCGCCGGCCTCGCCGTCCAGCGCGGACCGCAGCCCTGTCCTCCGCGCGCCTCGTCTGACGCACTTCCCGCAGAGCCCGCCCCCCACCGCTCCCGCGCCGCCCCGCCCCGCCCGGGGGCTTGTGGGAGTTGTAGGCGGGAAGGGGGGTGTGAGCGGGGGCCTGTCGCCGCGCGATGCATTGTGGGGGATGTAGTTCCGCGCCAGAGGAAAGTCACGTCCGTGCGCCAGAGGCTGGTGTGGGCTGAGGCCTTTGTAGGTTTTAGAGGAGAGCGAGGTCCTGGGTCGGAGGCCCTCTGTTTGCGGTCACCGCTAGTCGTTGCCTGTGACCTCTATACTCAGGCGGTCCAGTCCGGTGCTCCCCCGTGACACCTCCCGACCTCTAAATTTGTGAACAGCAACGAGATTACGCTTTTTAAATATTAACCTGCTTGTTTCTTTTCTCACAACCTCACTCCCACTGGAGCAGATAGTCCTTCTGGTTTTATCGCTGAACTTCAGACTAAGAAGGATGTGACTTGACAGGGTTCATCTAGAATGTGATGACATGGGGATGCAAATAATTTATGCATACTTCTCTTTATGGCACGATACTGGTTTTCTATTGACTGTACGTAACTTTCCTTTTAAAATAAACTTCATTTAGTTAAACAGAAATATGAAATTAATAACAATAGTGAGGGTACCAGATATGTCAAAAAACGTGTATAAGAAAATTGCTTACGTACTATGAAAAAGACTGAATTTGGCGTAATATTGCCGTAAGCAGATAAGGAGGCAGACAGCCTCAGAGTTTGCAGATGACTGTGTGGCACAGAGTCAGCGGAATGATTCTAAGCTGTCAAGTGCTGCACCGAAATTAATGGACAGGAAGCAGGGACATCTTAGCAATGACGTGTGTGGACCCGTGGACGTGGCCTGGGACCAGCAAATGATGGGTTTCTCAACAGACGTCTGCAGAGACAGCCGACTCAAGGACCAGAGCGGCTCGCAAACGCTATCCCATCCCCCAGTGCCTTGGAATTTAGCCACCGCACGGGAGAAAGGTGGGAGCCTCACACTGATATTAAATTTCTAGATTTAGGCATGATTGAAGGCATTCATGACAGATTGGAGGTATGATATTGATCTGTTTTTCTATCTGGAGTTATATTTCTTTTGCCTGAGTTGGTGAACTGGTATTCATATCCAGTAAATAAATAAAATAAAAGTAACAAAAAATAAAGTAACAGCCAAATGTAATATTCAAATATGACTGGATTTTCATGTAGAATACCTGATCAAAGGAGAACTTTGTCAGAGGCACCGGCTAGAGAAAGTGGTGGAGGTGCACAGGCAAATTGTTTCTGTGCAGCTTGACTCCTAAGTGCATTTATGCACCAGGAAATATCTCCATCCATGGCCCTCACTGGAAATCCCTACCTTCAGAACAACCTGTCTGGTGAAGTCACACGGTAGACAGACCCAGGTAAACAGGAAGTTTGAAAGACACCACTTCGACTCATGGACTAGAGAACTGAGCCCAGGGTGAATAAGTGACTTATCAAGCTTGAGTACTGGGGTGAGCTGACTAGCTTTGTGACATTAGACAATTTTCTTAACCTCTTTTAGTCTTTTTTCTTTTCTCAAAATATGGATGTTGACAATAACACTTGTCCCATGTGATTGTTGTGAGGATAAAATGAGAAAATACACATAAAATGCCCGGCACAGGACCTAGGGCCTAGTAAACAATTATTAAATAGTTAGTATTTGCAAATATTTATTGAACATCTGTAATATTTGAGTAGGGTCAGTATAAACAGCTTTAAAAGTTCCCAATTTCCCCAGAGGCTAGAAATAAGCCATTTATAGAGGTAGGTGTCCCTGCTCACTTCAGCAGGTTTACCAGCCTCTGGACCAACTGCCGAACAACTAGGAAAGGCTTGCCGGGACCAGATGTCAGGCATCCATGCTTAGCTCTGCCCAGGAGATTCCCAGGCTGGGCTCACAGCATACTTAAGTCTTCGTGATTCAAGAGTGGATGCTTCTGGGGAGCCCTGCAAAGGAGGAGGACGCTGTCACCCATCAAGTCTGCAGAATGCCTCAAGAACACATAAGACACATTTCACTCACCCGTTCAGTGTGGACCTGGAACTGTCTGCGTGTGGAGATGAGACTGTCCTCCCGCTCAGCACAAAGGCCTGGAACCGCCTCCTCCCTCCCAGGACCACCAAGCACACAGCCGTATTTCTGATTTCTCCCTGTATTGTGGGTGTTTTCTGTTTTCTATTTCTGCTTGCATGTTGTGTGGGTGGGCAAAATAAATCCTTAATGAATTAATGGAGTTAAATTTCTGCTTCTGTTTCTTACTCTGCTGTTTGGGAAACAGTGGCTGGCCTGACGTATTTTTACAAATGTTAAAGATGATTTAGTGCAACCATGTACAGATTGTGAAATTTAGATTTAAAAGCGAAGTTGCACTAGACCTCTGGCTTAATTTGTTGAAGATGGTTCTGGTTTCAGCAGGAAGGTTGTATAGTTACACTACATTTTAAATAAACCCCAAAACTGAAGATCTAGATATGCAGATATTATAACTTGTTTATATTACATACTTACAAACAGTTCCATGTGAGAATCCCCTTCAATACCAAATTCCCTAATCCCTTAAATATTTCCTTTTAGTTGCACGTATATTTAGGAACTAAATTATGTTAAGCAAGATAGGTCTACGTTATGCTTTTCTCATATAATTTTGTCCTCATTGTTCTCCTTGTGAACTTTGGAGTGCAGAAAGGAGGAAAATAGGAATATATGCAAGCTCTGAGTTCCAATCAACAGCCATCCTCAAAAAAGATGCATCAGTCTTTGAATTTCTTTGTACTCCTTCACTCTAGAATGGTGGCAAAATTAATCAAGGATGAGGCAAATGGAAATGTGCATCTAAAATGGCTCTTTCCTTTGAGCAATTTCTGCCAAAATCTACACAAAGTAACAAACTATAGCTGTGTAGATGTCCCTGCTTCTGAAGGACAGGGAGTGGACCATGTGTAGATGAGAAGTGTATTTTTATTATTATTATTTTTTTTTTGAGGAAGATTAGCCCTGAGCTAGCATCTGCTGCCAATCCTCCTCTTTTTGCTGAGGAAGACTGGCCCTGAACTAAAATCCATGCCCATCTTCCTCTACTTTATATGTGGGATGCCAGCCACAGCATAGGTTGACAAGAAGTGCCATGCCTGCACCCGGGATCTGAACCCACGAACCCCAAGCCGCTGAAGTGGAACATGTAAACTTAACTGCTGCGCCACTGGGCTGGCCCCAAGAGAAGTTTAAAGTCATCAATGTGAGTCTTTGGGAATGACCTCTTTCTGGGCCCTAGTGTCTTCCTTCATAAAATGGTCGTACTGGATGAGCGCTAATGTCACTTGAAGCTCTAGAATTTTATGATTCATAATTCTGCTGGAAGAAGAAGAACGTAACTCCAAAATGTGGCTGTCATAGATCCACAGTGTTCAGGTTCCGTTGGGGAATTCATGTATCCTACACCTCCAGCGTAGGAAAGATGCAAGGCAGAGAGAGAGTGGGAGACGCAGACAGACAAAGGAAAAGCAAGAAGGCTCTCTGCATTCTAATTAGAAAAGATACAACAACACAGACCTCTGCTGTTTCAACAACAAACGGTAATCATGGAAACTGGAAGCCATCCAAGAAGTTTGTGAAAAGACACTATTCATTGGAAATGACTCAAAATTCAAGCATAATTCAGTCCTTATCTACAAACGTTTACTGACCACCTATTCTACGCCAGACACCATGCTGGTACCAGGGACACCAATGTAAATAAATACAGTTTGTGTTATGCACAACCTAATCCAGATTAAATCAACTATTATGAAGAAGCCTAAAGTATATGTACCTAGAATAGTAATGTCACTACTGTTTATGTAAATGTGGAGTACCAAGGGAAATAATCCAATAAATGAAGTGGGGGAGGACCCTGATAACAGCAAATACATGCCACTTAACTTGGCATGATATATTACATTGCATTGCACTGAACTCGCCAAGTAACTGTCAGAATAAAAAAATCATTAATTCTTAAAGTATAAACACATCTCTTAAACTGGACTATTTAAATGGTTATATACTTTATGATGCTCAAGTAAGAAATGGACAAGAGAGTATTTCTCTCTAACAAATGAACATATCACTCTGATTGCTTCATGATTTTTGCCATTTATTCTAGGACACATCAGTAGAGCAGGTACGAATAGAGGTTTCTTTCTGCCATGTCATATGCTATATAATCTGATGAATCCATCTCTAATATGGGGTCCAGAGCAGTTGACAGAGAAGAAGCAGAAGTAATATACTGTAATGCCATTAGGGATGGCTGTGTTCACTCGAAACCTGCAGCCCACCCGTGAAGCAGAGGCTGCAAGTTGCAGCCATGGCCGTGTAATAGATGATGATAGATTCACTCGAGCGTGTGTCTCAGGGGACAAAACCTTACTTTCTCCTCATCTCCAATGTCTGACCCAATGCTGAACATATCTCAGGAATTGGGACCCAGAATAGGGAGGGCCCAGAAGTCTAAACTAATTCCTAAAATTTTGTGAGATCCAGGCTAGAAGACTTCTAAGAAGTTCAAATTTAGAGGGGATTTTTTAAACTTTTTAAAAAGCTAGCCAAAATAATAACAAAGCATAACATACAAGGTTGGTTCAGCTGTAAACTAGAACAGTGACTCTAAACTTTAGTGTGAGTAAGAATCACTGTGGACGTGTGTTAAATACAGAGTCCTAGACTCCACTCAGAATGATTTCAATCAATAGCTCTGGGACGGGGCTCAGAAAGCTACAGTTAGAAGGCAGCCCCGGTGACTCTAATGTGGGTATGTGGTCTGGCACCCACAGGTTCAAAACAATGGTTTTGAAAGTCCAAAAAAGACTGTAGTTGGGTAACTACCATGAGCAGAGGCCGGTGGAGAGAGCACAGATGGTATCTCCCTTCAAGTTGCTCTGATCCGCTCAGGAGGTCAGACTCCAAACCAACCATGTGAAATGAGATAATAGATACTTTGCAAACAGTCTTGTAAAGTTCTTAGAGAACACGAAGGTGAAAGTAATTATCTCTGCCAGGGAAGAGGAAGGAAAGCGGAGCGTTTTTCCTGGGAAAACAATTCTTAAGAGGTGGCATGTGTGCTATATTGCAGTGACTAATATTTACATCTTACTCTCTTTTTGCTAGGACTGTTCACGCTGTCTTTCCATGTGCTTATGGTGTCCAGTGTTGTTCCTGAGTTTTGGTCTGCGTATAGTTGGTTGTTTTATTGTTAGAAACCTCACCTTTATTTCAAAGGGGAAAGTCCTAAACATGACCGTTGCACCAAGCTTGTTTAGAAGTATGACCTCCTACTTTATCTAGTCAGCTTTTACTGTGGGTTCTGTCTTAGAAAAGCTTTGTACTCTTTGAGTTATTAAAAGCCCAGTACTATGCTATTTGTTCCCCTTTTTTTGGTTCAAAACACTTGATTTGTTTTCTAACTGGGGTCCCAAGATAGTGTTGGTCAGTGATGGATGCTCTTGTGTGGCAGCATTCTACACTAATTACCATATTATAAAGTGACTGTGAATGATAAAGTGAGTCATTTTGTCTACAAACTGCTTCAAAGGTTACTGAGGAAGTCAGATTTCTTTGAGATAGTTTATATCAGCAGGCCCACAACGTTTGAATGCTGTTTTGAATGCTGAAAGAAAATGTAAGGCCCACAGAATAAACGTATGGCCAGATGTTTTCCTCTAGAGTATGCGTGTGAACTCTTTTTCATTTTATAATACTTTTATGTGGAATTCTTGAGACATAACTAAAAAAGAAACTTTTTAATATCTTAGGCCCAGAATCAATCTCATCAATTTTCTCAAATGCCATAAGAAGTTCTGGTTGTAGAATGCAAAATTCTAACAGTATGATTAAAGTGCAATTATAAATCAAGTAAATAAAGTATATATATGTACATATATACACTTTACGATCATATATATATATATGATTGGTACTTTAATACGCACACACATATACAGAGATAGAGTGCTTAAATATTCTATGTTTACACCATCTATCCTTTTCAAATATTGTCCTACTTCAAACTACTTGACAAAATGAATTACTCTACTAAATATTTAATGCTTACCCAGGGGAAAGATTGTATCCCAGAAATGTCAAGTATTCACTCGTTTCTCTCACCTGTGGCTTCTGCTGGGTGAAGGATATGCCCCATGAACCACACAGAGCCGCCAGGGACACAGAAGAAGGCAGACGCAGGCCCATAATTCAACTCCCAGGTGACTCCCGGGGCTGCCCCAGATCAGGGAGCCCTCGTGCTTCCCTAGAGACTGAGGTGACATTAGAACACATCAGGAAAAGGAGGTGGGGAGGGCGTCCAGTGGGTAGGATCGTGCTTTTCAATATGTATTAATTACGGAAGAAATAGAAATTCAATAGAAAGGATTTCAAATGGTTAACAGTTGTATTTTCATCTACCGGCATACATTCTTCTGTGCAGTATAACATCAGCCTGGATCTGTGATCTTGGCGATGAAATGACATGGAGGGAAAGGGAAAAGAGGAGAATGTGAGAGAGCCTCCAGCTGCTTCGGCCAGAAAGGAGTTGAAACAGCTGGAGTCAGTTCTAGAGTTTGTTATGTTTTGCTATGGTCTAAAGATGAACAGATGAGAGGAAAACGTAATAGGATCCTTTCGGTGTTAGCCTGTTTGTCAAAGCGTTTTGAACCAAAAATCTTCCTTTTATTGTGTCTATACTGGCACCTCCGTTATAACGTCACTTACTATAGGTCTGTCTGTTGCCGGGTCTGTAATTCCAAAAGCGAAGTTCACTGGTGTGTGGAGGTATTTAAGGAAAAGTCATCGCTCAAAAGCTGAAAACTCACTGCCACTGGAGGTAAGTGTGAGCAAGAGAAGATCAGAGGGAGTCTGGAGTCTGCTGGAGGATGGGTATGGAGGGTTGTCGGGAGAAAAGCTCCTGGTCAGGGATGGTGCCTCTAACCTCAGGGAACTTCATCAGTTGAATTAGAATAGCAGACAAGAGTGTAAAAATAGCACTTTGTGATTTTTAAACCTGTTTGTAAACTACATAAATAAAAAGAATGCCTGCAGCTAGACCCCGGTGAATTCATCCTTGCCGACAACACTGGATCACAGAAACACACATTTTCCTAATCAACTCAAATAAAGTAACATTTCCACAGCACCAGATATATGCAAGGTGCTGTGCTAATTGTAGTGGAAAAGTTTGGAAAGTAGTAATGAAAGCACAAGTTGTTTTTAAGAACATGCTGAATGTGACAGAATCGATTATGTCTGACACAAAAGAGCGAAATAAATGGGGAAAATCTCAAACCCTTGTTGGAATCATTGTGTTTGCCGCAGATGTGGACTGGTCTGAATCGGGAAATTTTCAATTTACTCTTTATGCAATGAAAGACTGTGTTCTTCACATTTCATCAATGATGTAAGTAAAAAGAGTATCTTCATCATCATCACCTTAAAATTCTAAAATACGAGAGAATCCTCTATGTGAGATGGAAGGCTGGATCAGAGGGGTCAGCGTCAGGAAAGCAGAGGATGTCTTTAAAGTTGATGAGGAAAAACATTCATTTCCTAATTTCTGGATTTAAAGAAACAAATTGAATATCTTGAAGAAAAAAAGTCAAAAAAACACCTCAGTTTCCTGGGCAAATGCAAATAAAGAAAACCACAACCACAGCCACCCGACACCAATCAGGGGGTGTTCCTGGTGGGCCCTTTCTGAGGATTGGTAGAAACTGCAGTTTTTCATCTCTGTTTTTATGTTTGTCCCTAGATCTTTTGAGGGTGGGGGTTGGGGAAAGGCAGGTACTGTATAAAAGAAACTGTCTTGAGATTTCTAAAATTCATACAAAAACTTCCTGGGTAAGGAAACTCACCAGGTTTGGCTCCTGATCTTTAGTGATGGACCCAGAAGCAACTTCAGCTTATTTGGATTATTTCTATGCTACAAGCCAAAACCCTGAAATTGAGGAGGCCCGCTCCCCTGTGCCTTACACATCCATCTTCCTTCCCATCTTCTACACGGCGGTGTTCCTGGCCGGAGTGTTGGGGAACCTCGTGCTCATGAGTGCCTTGCATTTCAAACGGGGCAGCCGAAGACTGATTGACATCTTTATCATCAACCTGGCTGCCTCTGACTTCATTTTCCTCATCACGTTGCCTCTCTGGGTGGATAAAGAAGCATCGTCAGGACTGTGGAGGACAGGCTCTTTCCTGTGCAAGGCCAGCTCCTACATGATCACAGTCAACATGCACTGCAGTGTCTTCTTGCTCACCTGCATGAGCGTGGACCGCTACCTGGCCATCGTGTGTCCAGCCATCTCCAGGAAATTCAGAAGGAGAGACTGTGCATATGGAGTCTGCGCCAGTGTCTGGTTTATCTCCTGTCTCCTGGGCTTGCCTACTCTTCTGTCCAGGGAGCTCACCATGATTGGTGACAAGCCATACTGTGCAGAGAAGAGAGCCACTTCGGTTAAGTGGGCTTGGAGCCTGGTGGCCCTAATTTTTACCTTTTTTGCACCTTTGGTGAGCATTGTGACCTGCTACTGTTGCATCGCGAGGAAGCTGTGTGCCCACTACCAGCAGTCAGGAAAGCACAACAAAAAGCTGAGGAAATCCATAAAGATCATCCTTATTGTCGTGGCAGCCTTTGTCTTCTCCTGGCTGCCCTTCAATACCTTCAAGCTCCTGTCCATTGTCTCTGGGTTGCAGCAAGAACTCTACATTTCCCAAGATTTTCTGAAGCACGGTATGGACGTGAGCGGGCCCTTGGCATTTGCCAACAGCTGTGTCAACCCCTTCATTTACTACGTCTTTGATGGCTACATCCGCCGGGCCATCGTGCGCTGCCTGTGCCCTTGCCTGAAGAACTATGACTTTGGGAGCAGCACCGAGACCTCAGACAGTCACCTCACTAAGGTTCTCTCCAACTTCGTCCATGCAGAGGATTTTGCCAGAAGGAGGAAGAGGTCTGTGTCACTCTAAAGGAGACTGGGACATTTCAAGCTCTGTTGGCTGGAGAGTTAACTTGTCAGCGACAAAGAAAAGTATTAGTGATGATATTCACATTACTTCATAAATACAAGAGTTGACTTTTGAAGACGTGACTGCAAAGTGCCTGTGTTTGTGGATATAATCAGGCTGTGTGCTGTTTTTTAGCTGAGTGGCCTTATCTGACCTTTGACAATTAAGTTCACCAGGCACAATACAGCTTTGTGGCCTTGAACTCTGAGGGCAAGTCTCCTGCTTGGACCAGCTTTCTTCTTCAGGAGTGTTCGTGCATGTACAGGCCTTTTCCTCTCCAAGAACCAAGGTGCCTTCCTCCATACAACCTTTTCTACAGGCTCCATTTGGACTACATTTAAAGGATTCTGCCCACTTTCATCTGGTGACAAATGTGGTGACAATGCAGGTAGAAAAAAATATAATACATCTATGCTCTGTAATTAGTTGTTCCTGTGTAATGAGTGAGGGTCTGGCCTAATCTTTGAAACTTTGCATGGTGATTCTTTACCATCTCCAGCTCTGTCTTTCACCCTGTGCCTTTCACAGTAACTCTGGCCTAGCCAAAATCTCCTGGGGATAAAATCATTTTGTATTGTGTTTATGATTGCATTTATGATTTATTTTATCACCCGGTTTTCTAGAGTATTTTAACAAGGAAGCATAGAGCAAGGTTTGACCTTTATTTTCTTTATAAGCTGTGTTGGTAAAAATGTATCTCATTGGAATGATGCAATAACTACTTTGCGATGGGGTTTTACTATGCTCTTTTGTTTTCATTGCCTTTATAAATTAGGATATGATTTTGCTTTAATTACATGTTTTTAATTACCCAGTTATCTAGTTATCAAATGAAAATGTTACTACTAATATAATTGGAGGTCATCAAATGCTTAGCTACATGCAGATTATTATTTTGTATTTTAATTAAAATGTTAGTAGTACACATTCCCTGTAGCGTCATTTGCTCAGTGTATATACTTTCAAGGTTTGGTCCAGTAGTATAGGAAGGTAGGATGCTCTGAAGTGAAAAATCTATAATGAAGATGTTACTCGTATTTTAAATACATTTTTCCAAACCCGACAACCTTCCTGAATTCCTTCACCCAATAAATGTATATTGAGTCAATTGGTACCCATATTCCTTTTAAAGACTTTGAAGTGAAAAATAGGTGATTAGCAGCAACCACGAAAGGTTTTGGAGCAGCAACATACTATTGGGTAAACATCTTTTGATTCAGGAGAAACGGTTATGTTTTTACCCCCCGTTGATGCAAATGAATTACTATTTTAATTCTAAATATTAGATTTGAAAATCAGGGAAAGCTTTAAATCTTTTCAGAGACTAGGTAATTCAAGTTCATCCTATGTACCTTTCACATTAAATGAAATCTCAAATACCAGGCATTTTCTTATATTATAATCTACTTAAAAGTTGAAAATATAGTTTTTGGTTTTATACATTGGTTAATTTGTTAATTTCCCTTAAACTTTTATTAAATAAAAAATATAATTTCCATGTATAAGTATTCTTATATGTTGTATTAATTTCTATCAACATATTGATATTAATACTGATATTCAAACAGCCTTTTAATAAATTATCATAAATAGAGAAAGAAAAGACTGTGTAAATCATAAGAAACAAAGTTGTTGGAAAACTTCAAAACAATTGAATAGATCTCCAAAAGTTAAATAAAAACAAAATACAGAGAATAGAAGACATTCACTTCTATAAAACAAAAGCAAAATCAGCAAAAGCAGGATTACTCATCACGAAGCATCACCTTTGAGAGATATAACCCTTGAACAAGAGCCCAGTCCATCAGCTGAGGTATTTGTTAGGAAATGAGAAAACTGGAGTTATTAGGTTGAGCTTCATCCTTAATGTTGGCACACTGAACAAATCATTTTAATCTTTCATACCTATGTAATACCCACGTCTATAGAATTCTCAAGGATATTGTAAGACTAATAAATATAAAGTTTTTTAAAATATTGAGTAAAAAGTTACGATATAAAGTGATTGAGTTTCTATTATTAATTATTGAATGTTACTTAAAATTTTCCAAACTAGACTATCAAATGACACAATCACTCTCATTTAACAAATATTAAGACTCTGTCTCACTTCTGTTTTATCTCTTTACTTTTTCCTGGAATATTTAAAATAACATAGAAGAAAAATATACTGTTGAACTTTTTACTACTTTAAATGGATATGATAATTTTGTGCCTTAAGAAACTTAGTGTATTTTATATTCATAATGTACCAGTGATGGAAGGAAAAATAGGCATAATTTTAGAGATAGCATAACTCTGATGGAAGGTAACTCAAAACTTGATTAAGTTGGCATGTTACTATGTCGTATATGGATTCCTCTAGCATGAAATGTAATTTACGTTATAATATTTTAACCACTTAAATGTATTTTAAACCATAATAATTTCCACATTTTTAATGTGAACAAATTTTGTTTATATACATATATAGATACAGATATATATAGAAACATAGACATATATTTATAACTTTTCAATATTTTTATTATCTCAATTAAACTTCGCTGAGGGCTACTTTCTGGGAATTTAATGTCATTACAGAACAAATCAACACATATTGCCACAAATTTCTAGAAAATTAATTGGGCACCCTAACAGGATCATGCCTTGCTGGTTACGTGCAAACTGAGAAAAACAAAATAAAATTTAACAAGAATAATTGCGTAAGGAAATTAGTGCAGATTAATACTATTTGTTGTCATTTGTTTAAGCAGACCAAAGCCACTGCCAGCACTTTAATCACAAATATGAAAGGAGAGTCATCTCCCAAGGATTTCTCAAGCAATTTTTCGTGAACCTACCACAGAAAAACTCTCCATTAAAGCGCACGTAAGATGTTGTCTGGTAACTTACAATTGATTTTAAAATAGATATCCTCAAGGCGCATGAAGTCTCAAACACACATTCGCTCTCTTTGGGTCACATTGAAAGATGAAGACTAACCTGACCTTCCTGGGAGCCCCGGCCTTCGTCCTCTTTAACAACTCACATCACCTCTGAGTGAGAACGGCTGTCTTGGAGGAAGCCATGTGCGTGACTGACAGTGGACCATTCCTAGGGGTCACAAGTTAATTTTTAAATAGATGCAGAAATGCACAGTGCGATGGTAAGCTGAGTGAAAGAAGTCTTCCTCTATGATTCATCTCGACTCCTCAAATCATTCTCTATTCCCCCAGCAATCTCAGAAGTAAGAAATGACTTGTCAAATATGTGCCACAGAAGACAGTGAGCCTTGGCTTTCCCTGCAGTGCTCATTCACAAAAGTCAAGCATTATTAAAAGAATTACAAATTCACTTCTCAAAGTGCCACTGGTGTAGACTGCCAGCAAGATGAGGCCTCCAGCCCCGAGAGAAAAGTGCCCTCGGAGAGAAAGCAGGAGGATGGTTCCAACCGCCAGAATATTTGCAAACGGCACTGCGCTTGGCCTTCCGCAGAGGTTGGTGTGGATTGGATTGCCTCTTGAAAATGCCTGTTCGTATTTTAAGTACTTTTCTTTGAGTCAACATTCTTTGTTTTTATCAGTTCTGTGAGTAAACAATTATGACTAGACTTTACGTATAAGTGTTAGGGGAAAACAACAGTGCCAGTGACCGGCCTTTGTCCTGCAGACGGAAAAATACAGCTTGGGATAGGTCACCCTGGTCTCTTGTTATCCTTGTCATTTCTTTAGTAGAGCTGCATTTCCTAAATGTATTTGATCAGTGGGCGTTGCATCCTAAGATTAACCTACAGCATTAAAAAAAACACCTACTTTAAATATCCAATGTTTTAAACTGTTAATAAAGTGAAGGTTCTTATGACAAATTAAATCATAGCAAAATATAAATTCACATGAAATGTCCATCAGTCAATCTAAAAGTGGAGGGAAGTACTGTGTTAGTTGGCAGCCATTATTAAACTAAACATTTCTTGGTGTACGTACATGAATACCAAATTTCTAAGACCCAAAGGTGCTTTAAAATTACAGTGGAACTTTATTGAGTTGGCCACATGTGGTTAAGTTGAATCTTGGTTAACTTAAAGTGGTCAATTTAAAAGATTTATGATACAATGTTCATATTAGTTTTATGATGCTCTATGGACCAAGGGAAGGATATCATCAATCTGACATTATTCAGAGATTTTCTTATTTGTTAATTAAGAGGAGTTAATAATTAGCTAGTTTCCTATCACCCCCACGTTAACGAGAGTTAAGCTTCATCTATGAGTATTTCATGTTTGTCAACATTGATGGGAAATTTAACATACTTACCTGCTAACTCTTATCAATTCTGATTAGAAACATTTCATTTCTCTGTTACTATCAGTTCAAATGAAACATGAAAGGTCCTCATTGCTAGAATACTTTATGATCTATATTTCAAAAGTGTACTCTCCCATTTGCTCTTAATTATATACAACGCAGAAGATTTAGATCTTGTGATGTTCTTAGAGCAAATAAAATTTAATGCATCAAAAATTGTGTGGCTAAAGACTATTTTTAATTTAAAAAAATGTTTCTGTGGCAGTCTTCAGCAAGCAACTCTGCTCTTTCCCTTATAGCGTATAGACGGTATTAACAACTGTCTATTGCAAAACTTTCACAAATCCCTAAATTTTGCAAATTCTGGTATAGCATATAATTTATTCCATACAAATTTAGTAAAGTGTAACCTCTTCAAAGCTACTGCATGATGTGCGGAAAATAAAGCAGAATTGAGATGTCAGTCCTGGATGTTTGGCCCGACTCGCTAGTTAAGTCACTCATTCCTCATCACATCATAGGTCAGTGGTTTAATTTTACGCCCTTTATGCTACAGACCTGTGGAGTTCCTTGAAAACAGTCAGCATCTCAATATCAGACTGTGAATGCGAAGTGTTTGCTGTGCACAATGCACTACGACAGCCAAGGATTTGTTATTGTAACTGATAGATTTTGAACCAGGCATATTGTGGTCTCTCACTCACAAAACCTCTCTCTCTCTATCTCACACACACACACACACAAATACACAAACACATGGTGTGCAAATGAAACTGATAAGCATCTATGAATCTTGTTGCTAATAATCAGACTTTGGTACCTGACAGAACATACAAGAAAGGAGAAAATAAGACAAAGAAAAAAATATAGTAAATAGAGAATACAAAATAAAGTGGCACATATGAATATGAATATATCAACAGCAACAATAAAATACAAATGGATTAAAATTCCCTATTAAGGGGCTGGCCCCGTGACCGAGTGGTTAAGTTCACGTGCTCCACTTCGTGGCCAGGGTTTTGCTGGTTCGGATCCTGGGCACGGACATGGCACTGCTCATCAGGCCACGTTGAGGTGGCGTTCCACATGCCACAACTAGAAGGACCCACAACTACAATATACAACTATGTACTGGGGGGATCTAGGAGAAAAAGCAGGAAAAAAAAATTGGCAACAGCTGTTAGCTCAGGTGCTAATCTTTAAAAGAAAAAAAAATTCCCTATTAAAAGGTTGAACAAACAGCCTGTTCCACAATCAGCTGCTCTATATATGGCACTATTAACTCTAAAATTTAAAGAGGAAAAAGTAGAACTTGTTTCTTCATGGAGTTTACGATCCAAATAGTTACTTATTTTTGAATCAAAGAATGAGGTACTTGCATGCAAGAAGAACTTGGTAGATGAAAAGAAAATTGCAAGTCAGATCACCCTCTTTGCTCTTTTCCGATGTTCAGGGAGAAGCCCATACTTAGTCCATGTACAAGTCACTTAGTTATCCGCCATTTTGATATGGTTATTTACTAAATATTGTCACATTTTCTTAAAGAAATGTTCACACTGGCATCACCAAATGAAAATACTTTCATCATCCTTAAAGATTTTTACACATAAAAGATTATTTTAAACCAAAGAGCACATCTTTGAAAAGCATTAGGTTTCAATTTATTTTCAAATGATGAAGTAAAGAAGATATGCAAAGTGGTGACTACGCAAACCTTGCCCAAAGACAGGGATGTCATGAGATGCCCTCTCCCTTACCCTCAGTCTACACCAAAAGCAAAACTGACAGGTCAGGTGAAGACGTGGTAAGCAAAAAAAGACACTTGCCTGTGGTTTCAGGTTTAAAGCAAAAAACGCAGACTCAGAGGAGTTGGAGGAGGCTGGAAACGGCTGCTCTATTTCTAATGAAAAAGATGTTCATGCGATGCAGGCCTGACTTGTGTGCATTAACGAAAGTGGTTTAAAATTAGACAATTAGCAAAGAATTGCAAAAAAGTCAATGCAGAACTGCATAACTTATACAGTCTTTAGGATTTTAAACCATAATTTCACTTCTATTATTCAAACATAGAAAAAGTATTGCCAATAAACTTATGAAAATATTTAGCATGATAAGTAAGGATGGCCAAATTAAAATAAAAGGTATAATTTTTACCTATTAAGTTAGCAAAGATTTAAACGTTAAATACTGAGGGTGATCAGAATTGGAGGTGTGGAGTGTGGGCAGACTTCTTGGACTATTAATTGAGTGTAATTTGATTAAGTTTCTAGAGGAAATTAAGAAACATATATGAAAAGCAATTCCACTTCGAGGATTTTACCCTGGAATGTAATTATGGCCACGTGCAAAGATATAAGTACGTGCATTTTTATTGAAGTATTGTTTGCAAAAGTAGAAAGTGAAAACAACCTAATGTTCACTAATAGAGGATTGTCTGAATAAATTAGGGTTCCTATACATCCTTACAATGGAAGACTGTGTAACCTTTAAAAATAGGTGCCATGTACCAACATTGAAAAGTCTTCATAACAAATTAAAAGAAATTAAGTGAAAAAAGCAGACTACAAAATAGTATCTACAGAATAATCACATTTGTGGCTATTTCATTTATGTGAGAATACAAAAATGCCAGAACACTATGCAGCAAAACGTTAACTTTGTTCATCACTAGGTAGTGAAGTTAAGGTGATTTTTATTTTTTTTATTATTGCTTGTATTTTCCGAAAAGAACATGCGTTAATTTTGTAGTAAGAAAAAAAGCTGAATTTAGCTGCTTTTCTAAATGAAGTACACAAGATAAAAATAGTAGCTAAAGTAAATTTGCTGTAGAACATCGACTCTGAACCATAGGTCCTCCAGTTCTTCATCGTAGTGTATTTCTGATTTCTGAGTATAACTCCTACACTGGCCTTGAGACCTTCCCTAATAATCTTCTGATTCTTTTAGAAGGGCCTTTCTTCTTACCTCTGCAAGTACCTGATTTCCTAAGAGAAAAACTTTCAGAACTGGTACACATTTAAAATTCTTAAATGGTGATGAGGGTTTGACTATTCCAGCATGTTCCATGTCCTCCCTTAGCCCAGCAGCTATTACAGCCTGTGTGCCGAATCATCTGGTGGGCTGTCCCCCAGCTGAGGTGAGACAGCCCCCAAGGCGGCGACAGCCACGTCTTCACGTCTGTACATCCACATCCCTGTTCTAAATCGGGCACTCGGGACTGTTGAACTGCACTGAACATGCTAGAAGCTTGACACCTTTGGCTAAAAGTAAAATGAAGAATTTTTACAAATGTTATTATTCAAATTTTGTATTTTTAACTTCCTTGCTTTTAACGTGTTGTAACTATGGGGGCCAGAAGTCTATACCAGTCATACTTCATTTGGGAACTCTCCTTTAACTTTTTAGGTCGTTCTAGCTGGATTATGATTAGAGAAATAAACATAACTTTTACTTGAGTCCTAGTCAGCTCTTTCTCTCTGTGACATTGATTTCCTATTTAAGTGGAAGACTTTTCTTAATGTAAATCCACTATGATTTGTGATAAAAAAAAAATAGTGATTCCCAATTATAATCATCTGATAGTCAAGAGTGCCTCCAGCTATCGCCAGGATGTTATAAATCTTTTCACAAACTCCAAGCCTATATTCCACATTAGGTAGTGCCTAATTTGTATGACTCTGCACTCTTGAGAGGGACTGGGAACAGTATTATGGGTCAAATAATTGATTGGAAAATAAACTCCATAAAGACTGTAAAAAACACTATACCGGTTAATAGTATCTTTCTGGGGCTGCCTGAAAAGAGCAGAGCTAACTCAAGTACCGTGATACAAAACATTTAAATCATTAGCTGATCATATTCACTATGATCCAGCTGCTTCCCCTGGATGGTAGTACAGCATTGTGGATGAAGGACACAGATAGACCCAAATGTGCCATTGATTGCCTATGGAATGTGAGCCAGTTTCCTACCTTTTCTGAGTCCATTTCTCTCCATGAATGGCGACTGCCCTACTGGCCTTAGATGGTGGCAGCTCTGATTAACTGAAGTGGGAGTGTAAGGATTTGGCACAGAGTCTGGTACATGGGAAGAGCTTGATAAACCATAGTTCAGAAACAGCTCCATTTCACAAATGAAGAAAATAGGATTCGAAGAAATCAGATTTCACACAATTCTTAGTGACTGAACCAAAAATGAAACTCTGATTTCGGTTAACCCCAGGGCTATGTGATCCCAAACCACAAGCTTTTTCCATTTCACCATATTTTTTTCTCGGATTCCAGAATCTTTGATAGATTCCGGTAACACCACAGTCTTCTCTTAGTTTAGTTTATCTTCTCTCTCTCTACAATAATTTCTCACATTCAAACTACGTTTCTTATTTTTTGACAGTGCAAATATCCCAAATCACCAAACGGTTTGCCTGCTCAGGACTAACGTAAAGAAAATGTGGCTTGAGGGAGGAGGAAGTCCATTTTATTAAAAATACATTTTTTTTCCAAAGGAAAATGCTTTCTTGTAACATGTTTCCCTGTAACATGATCTCCTAATAGTGATGCACTGGAAATGGCATCTTCTGTCCCTTCCGATGGTAGGTAAAAATCTCATGCTGCCTGTAAGAAATGAACGGTTACTGACTTCGTACCCCAAACCCAGTCCCACACTAAGGGACAGCAGCACCTGGAGGAGGGGCCCTCACAGGAAAACAACTTTTTAAAGAGCATATACAGACTAAGTAAGAATTGCAGCCTCATTTTCTCTATCCCTGAAAGTTTTTCTAGTCACATATTTCTTGTAATACACGTGTGATAAGAAGACAAAGTAAATCTAACGCCAACGCTCCCTCTGTGCACTGTGTGCCCACGGGCTGTGCGACCTGAGCCAGGATCACAAGTTCAGACTTTCCCGTCCCTCGTGTCAGACGCTGTTTGGGACGACAAGAAGCTGCACCAGCCTGTGTGCAGAAGAGACTCAGCAGACGGTGCTCCTGTCCCGCAGCAGATCCCTTTACACTTTTCAGAAGGCACGTTTGTACGAGCGACCTAATTGGAATAGGGATTCCCAAATTTAGTTTTAGGAAACACAGGGGTTTCTCAAATCAGGAACCTTGTAGATTGCCATAATCATAAAGTAAAACAATTTAAATTTACTTTAAACAGGAAATTATATTTTCCATGCAGCATTCTTAGGAGGGGGAGTTCAGAATGTAATGAAGG